AAAGTCATGTTTACTTGAAACATGTTATTCAAAGATAGGAGAAAGGAAACGTATCAATAATTAATCCAATACAGGGTAGTTGGAATAGAAGCTACAATGAAGGAGCAAGAGTTGAATTTGATGTTATTCGGCATAAATTCAGCAAGTCTTAAAGTGTACAAACAAGAAGATAATTTGTACAGGTCAAAAGGCTGGGTATTCCACAGTAACAACTCCAGACTCTTCAAAGTCATTTCACAATCTACAAAACTCAGTTGTTTGCATTCACAGCTCAGAGTCAGAAGACAGAGTTGAAGTCCCACTCCAAGTGGTACTAAGGTCCAAATGGTACTGAGGGAGTGCTGCACTGTCAGAGGTACTATCTATTGATAGAACTGTTAAACCAAAGTTTTACCTATCCTCTCAGGTAGGCATAAAAACATCCTAGGGTGCTGAATTTGAATTAGAATGTGGGAGTTAATTTAGGGACTGGACTGGACACAACAGCAGTTTTCCTTCCCTAAAGGGAATTGGTAAAAACACTAATCTAGTTCATTAAATTTTAAAAAAAGTAGTTTCATGATAGCACAGATTAGTTTTAATTCCCTAATTGACCTGGAATATATTTATAGAGCCAGAGTCACATAGTATGAAAACAGTCCACTTAGTCCATGCCAACTATAACCTCAAACTAAATTAATCCCACCTGCCTGCACTTGGCTCATCTCTCCAAACATTTCATATTCATGTACTTACCAAATGCCTTTTAAAACATTGTAACCGTATTCACATCTACCATGTTTTCCTGGAAGGTCAGCCCACATGAGCCACTTTTAAAAAAATAATTAACCTCCATGTCTTTTTTAAAATCTCTTCGCACCTTAAAAATAAGCATCCTTGTCTTGAAATCCCCCACCCTAGGGAAAAGACCCCTGCCATTCACCTCATCTATACGCCTCATGATTTTATAAATCTAAGGCCACCTCTCAACCTATACTACAGTGAAAAAAACATCCTAGCCTATGCAGCCTCTCCTTATAACTCAAGCTCTCCATTCCCAGTAATATCCTGGCAAATTTCTTGAGCCCTCTCCAGCTTAATAATATCCTTCCTATAACAGGGTGACCAGAACTGGATGCAGTATTCCAGAAGAGGCCTCACCAACATCTCAATATAACATCCCAAATGCTATACTCAAAAAAGGTCTGAGCAATGAAAGCAAGCATGCTGAATGCCTTCTCAACCACCTTATCTACATGTGACACAAGCTTCAAAGAATTATGCGCCTGAACCCCTAGGTGTCTGTTCTACAACATTACCCAAGGCCCTACTTTTAACTGTACAAGTCCTACCTTTGTTTTACCAAAATGCAATACTTTGCATTTATCCAAAATAAACTCCATCTACCACAATTCTGCCCAAAACACAACTGATCAAGGTCTCCAAGTGATCTTAGATAGCCTTCTTCACAGTGCACTATACCACTAACTTTGGTGTCATCTGCAAACATACTAACCATACCTTCTACATTGTTTGTCTTTTCTATAAATGGATTTAGATTTCAAAAAAGTGGACTCAGCACCAATCCCTGTGAAACACTGCTGATCATAGGTCTCTTGTTGGAAAAACAACCCTCCATCATTGTTTCCTGCCACTGAGCCAATTGTGCCCAGTTGGCAAGCTCACCCATGTGATCAAACTTTACTAGTTAGTCTACCATCCAGAACCTTGTTAAAGGCTTTACTGAAGTCCAAGTAAACAATGTCTACTGCTCTGCCCTTGTCAATCTTCTTGGTTACTTCCTCAAAAAAACAATTTTCAGAGACTTTATTTCCCTCACACAAAACTATCCCTAATTATCCCCTGCCTCTCCAAATGCACATAAATCCTAAGCTACTCACCACTGAAGCCAGACTAAATTATGTGCTTTAATTCTTTTAGGATAGACAATTACACATTTTCCCACAGTATACTCTACTCTTTAGATTTTGGCCCACTCAACTTCTCTCTATTCCCTTGTGGCCTTCTTGTGTCCTTGTCACAATTTACTTCCTGACTGATCCTCTCATTATCAGGTAACTTGGCAACCATATCTGTGTCCCTGCATTCGTGCTATTTCTTTTTAATTTGTAAGCAGTTGAGGTCCCAATGTCAATTCTGGCAGCCCACCACTTGTTAGATCATGTCAACCAGAAAGAGACCTATTTATGCCAACTGTTTCCTGTTAACAAGTCAATCTTTTAATCATAGAACTGTACCAAATAGGAGTAGGCCATTCAGCCCTTCAACTCTACTCCACTGTTCAATAAGATCATGATTAATCATCCAATTCTGTACCCTGTTTTAGCTTATTCCCCAAATCCTTTAATTCATTTATCCCAAAGAACTCTATCTAATTTCTTGAAACAAATGTTTTTGCCTCAGCCGAGTCAATCGTGTTAATATGTTAACCACCAGCACCATGAGCTCTGAATTTTCACTAACTTTCAATGCAGTATCTTAGCAAAAAATCCCATTTGCAATAAGTTGGTTAAGCAGGATTTCCCCTTCACAAAATCACGTAGCCTGCAACTTTGTAGGTACCTTACTAGAATATCTTTTAATAGCTTGTAACATTTTCCTAATGACAGAACATAATTGGCTTGTCGTTTGCTGTTTTGTCTCCCTTTTTGGAATTGTAGTTACATTCTCTACTTTTCAATCTAATAGAAGCGTTCTGAATCAAGGGAGTTTTGGAAAATTAAAACCAATGAATCAACCATCTCACTAGCTACTTTCTTTAAGATCCCAGAACAAAGCCTGTTAAGATCCAGGCACTGGTCCCACCACAGCTCCAACAACTTACTTAGCACCACCTCTCTGATGGTGGTGATGATATTTTTTGAGTTCCTTTCTCTTCAATGTCCCTATGTGCCACCATTTCCAGGATATTACTTGTTCCCTTTATAGTGAAGATGGATGAAATTTCCTTTTCCATTAAGTTATCTAGACACTGTCCTAAAGAACATTCACTTGATATTTTTAAAAAATGTTAACAGAAACACTGCCTGTTTCTATATTTCTAGTTATCGCTCTCGTACTTATTTCTTCTTCAGTAATATTTTAGGAAAGTGATGAATGATTAAATGTCCTCACCAACCTAAGGTGGTGGCAAATTTCCTTCTTGAAGTGGTGCAGTCCATTTGATGAAGGTTGATCCACAATGTCCTCAGGGGGAGGGAACTTCAGGATTTTGACCCAGTGACAGTGAAGGAACAGCAATATATTCCCAGGTCAAAATGGTAAGTGGCTTGGAGCAGAATTTAGAGGTGGTGGTGTTCCCACATATCTGCTGGCCATGTCTTTCTAGATGGAAAAGATTATGGCTTCGGAAGGTGCTGTCGAAGAATATTTGGTGATTTTTCTGCAGTGCACTTTGTGGATAGTACACACTGCTGCTACTGAGCGTCGGTGGTGTTGGGAGTAAATGTTTGTCGATGTGGTGTCAATCAAGAAACCTGTTTGGTTCTGGATGGTTCCAGTCCTCACTGGGATACAGCCTAGAAATCAGGCCTGGCTATTCCTGGAGTCCAAAAAGCTAAAGGTTGTGTAAAAGTATGCAAAAATACCCCAATTTCCTTTCTTTTGGATCAAGGTTGACAGAGCATGGACTGGGTTTCTATGCTATAGACAAATTACTGTTGTTACAATCAATAAATACTACAGGCAGACAATTGTCGACATACAACTCTACAAAAATAAAAACAGAACAAATCGAGGACGCTGAAAATCAGAGACAAAACAAATGCAGAATCTTAATTTGAAGAAGCGTTATTGTACCCAAAACATTAACTCTGCTTTCTCCCCACAGATGTTGCCAGGCCTGTTGAGCTTTTCCAGCCATTTCTACTTTCCAAATTTGAAAAAAGGGTGATAATGGGTGCAGGGAGAAACTGGGAAGGCAGTTCAATGGTCCCTGTCCACAGGGTTTGCTGAGATGATCCTTTTGGCTTGTGAGGACCTGCTGTTCCTGGTCTGTCTGCATATCAACCATGGTGCTAGGATTTCCTTGCTTGATGTAGATGCTGGTACAGGGCAGCATGGCGGCTCAGTGGTTAGCACTGCTGCCTCACAGCGCCAGGGACCCGGGTTCAATTCCAACTTCGGGTGACTGTCTTTCCACCGGGTGCTCCGGTTTCCTCCCACAGTCTAAAGATGTGCAAGTTAGGTGGATTGGCCATGCTAAATTGCTCATTAGTGCCCAAGGATGTGTAGGTTACGTGGTTTAGCCATGGGAGATGTAGGGTTACAGAGTGTTGGGGGTGAGTTAGTGTGGACTTGTTGGCCTGAATGATCTGTTTCCACACTATGGAATCTATGATTCTCTGGACCTTTCAGAGACCCCCTTTAGAAGTTGGCATCCTGGGAACAGATGCAATAGAGACTGGGATAATGGGATGGAGCCTTTACAGGAGGCAAGGTAAGAGGATGTATAGCCCAGAACTCTAAGAGTTGTTGTGTTTGTAGTGAGTGTTGGTAGTCAATCTATCCCCAAAAGATAGAGGAAGGGAAGGGAGGACTCCGAGATGGAGCAGGGTGTAAATTGAAATTGATACTTTTTCTAATTTTGAATGGGAGACGGATGGAGCACTAATAATGTCATCAACGTAACAGAGAAACAGTTGCGGATGGGGGCTGGAGTAAGACAGGAACAAGGAATGTTCCACGTACCCCACAGACATAGGCTGAACTGGGACCCATGAAGGTAGCCATAACTTTGGCTTAAAGTGAGAGAAATGAGTAAAAGGAAAATCTAAGCTGTCTCATTGTTTCTTTTATGAGTGGAAACAGCTTCTCCCTGTCTACTTTGTCCAGCCACATCTGTGACAACACCGCAAGATGATTCACCTGGAATCCTTCAGCCAGTAAGGAAATACAGTTCAATAATAACATTTCAATTTTGATTTTCCCTTTCACATTTAAATGATGGGTTACATTTGAAAGTTCAAAAAAATACATAAGAACATGACTGAGGAACATACCTGTAAACATAAGGCCCACGCTGCTCAAGAACTGGTTTCTCACCACGCAGAATTTCTTGAGGATTTTTAACCTCAAAGTAGTACAGCGACATGTAAAATGGTACAGGAATGTCTTGCCACATGGTGTAGGCCAGGCCATTATCAGGATCAATCTGAACTTTCTAGTCACAAATATGGAGGAAAATTCAGTTGTCAAGTGGAAAAACTCCAATTAAAAATTACAGCAGCTTCCCAAAAGGCCTCAAATGAAAGTTGATTTTCTGGTTATTTGGCCATGTCAATATTCTGACTCAGAATCAAAGTTTCTTAACACTTCACAGCCCCTGAAGTTAGCATTTGCCCTTTAGAGAAGCTAGCCTTCATCACCTGAACCCACCCTGTTTTCATATCCTCTTAGACCCTTTTCCTTGAAGTAATTGTTCAATCCAACTGTGAATGTTATCAACAGCTTGTTTTGTTTAATTGAACTTCTTTCACAGGATGAATGAAGCATCATGGGCTGAACCAGCTTTTATTACCCAGGCCTAAATTGCCCTCATGAAGATAGCAGTGAGCTACCCTCTTGAACCACCACGGTCCTATATATACCCCCACAGTACTGACAGAAAGGATTCCAGGATCTTCAACCAGTAATGCCAGAGGAAAAGGAGGTTGCACTTTCCCAGGCAAGTAGGAATAGCCTCCAACCTGCTTTTGTAACATGTGTCTGTACATGCATGATCCAGTTCAATTCCTGGTCAATGGTAACCCACAGAATGTTGATCGTGAGGGATAGAGACAGCAATGACACTAAATGTCAAAGAACAGCAGTTAAATTCTCTTTTGTCAGACAGAGTCATTGCTTGGAATTTTGTTATACCTCACTAAGGTAACATGCTGGATATTGAACCCTGTTATTCCCAGACTGATCACGAAAGTTAAAACATTTGAACATTTATAACATCCATTGTGCCAAGCATGACTCCAAACAGTGGAAAATTTCCACCCCCCCCCCGCCACCTCGATTCCAGTTTTGTTGGGGTTTATTGATGCCATACTAGTTGGCTACTTCCCTGATAAAAAGGGCAGTCAGTCAAACCTGACATTGGACACTCCTTTTCACTTGCACACCCATGCAACATGGTCTAGCGAAGGATAGAGAGCACTTCAAAAACCACAGAACAAGCTGGGGGAGGTGAGAGAAGAGAATAAGATGACAGAGGCACAATAATACAGCCTAGAAACAGACCCTTCGGCCCAAACAGTCCATGCCAAACATAATCCCAAACTAACCCAGTCCCATCTGCCTGCTCCCTCTAAACCTTTCCTATCATGTACTTATCCAAAATGTCTTTTAAATGTTGGAACTGTGCCCACATTCACCATTTCTCTGGAAGTTCATGTCACATGCAAATTACCGTGTTTCAAAAAAAATCATTGATCCTCATCTTTAAATCTCTCTTCTCTCCTCACCTTAAAAATATGCACTTGGTCTTGAAATCCTCTGTCCTAAGGGGAAAACACCTATCGTTAACCCTATCTATACCCCTCATGATTTTATAAACCTCTAAGTTTACCTCTCAACCTTCTATGCTCCAGTGGAAAAGAATGCCATCCTCTTTACAACTCAACCTTCCATACTTGCAACATACTGGTAAGTCTCCTCTTAACCCTCCCTAGTCTAATATCATCCTTCCAATAACAGGGCAACCAGAACCGGACACAGTATTCCAGAAGAGGCACCAATATCCTGTACAACCTCAACATGACTTCTCTGCTTAATCCTTTGATGATGAGTTTAAGGCAAGCATGCTGAGTGCCTTTTTAAATTGCCCTGTCTACATGTGACACAAACTTCAAAGAATTATGTACTGAACCCTTAGGATCCTCTGTTCTACAACAGTACCAAGGTCCTACCATTGACTGTAAAAGTCCTGCCCCGTTTATTGTACCAAAATGCAACACCTTGAATTTATCCAAACTGAACTCCATCTGCCATCTTTCAGCCCATTGACCCATTTGATCAAGATCTCTGTGATTTCACCGCCTATGATAAAGATTGGGTGACTCTATGGTAAGATGTGCAAGAAATATGCATTAGATTAAATGAAGTGCTTCCTTACATGTGGGAACAAACAACATTTTGGAATGTATCAATCCCAAGAGCTAGGAAGGTGCGAGGTCCAAAATTTGGATCCTTTCCACATGGTGTCAGAGCTATAGAAGCCAAACCACGTCCTAGCAGGAGGCATTATACCTACAACCAGTTCTGGTGTGGAGCTCAAATGATACAAGCAAAACAATGCAGAACATTAGGTACAATAACCCCAAAACTTGGACATAAACATTTATGCCATCTTCAAATGTGACAAACTCATGGAAGGTAGTTTAAATAAAGCTATTCTCAGGTTTCTCATCTCTTTCAGATTTTCTGTTCACAATCTGTTGCTGAATCTATACTTACTACATCTATCTCTTAGTCAAATATGATGTACCAAATGTAACACCTTGGCCTCTCATATACATTGTCCAGATCAAATAAAAAAAAAAGTGCATAAAATTGCTTTCTTCAGGCTTTTCCTATTTTACTGGAGAGAAAGACACTCAAGTCAAAAATACGGAAAATGATAAAAAGAATTGGTCTGTAATAGACTCCATGCAATCCAGTCAGACAGATCAGTTGTGATCTTATTAGATGACAGAGCAGGCTCAAAGGACCTAGTAGCCTACTGTTGCTCCTTTATTCAAAATGTACAATTCCTACGTTACACACATGGAGTAAAACTTAGGTCTCACCATTTAAGAGAACCCAAACCCCCATCAAGGAACAGAGCCAATCTTCCTAATTTTAACCTCACTCAGCATCCCTGCATTTACCTGATAATTTTTCATTCCCTCAAGTATTGTGTATTGGTTGCAAATTTTATTCATTTTAAAATTTAATACTGTCTCCTTTAACTGCTCCATCTAACATCTCCATGTTGATTTTCTGAAGGGGGGTCTGGGCCCGAAACATCAGCCTTCCTGCTCCTCTGATGCTGCTTGGCCTGCTGTGTTCATCCAGCTCTACACCTTGTTATCTCATCTAACACTTCTGTTGCTTTCTGAACAGGTCTACATTTGTTGGAGGATTGTCACATTTCTATGCCTAGCCTCTATTCTTGCTACCAATAGAAATTTAGTTAGGCCACAAATGGAATATTGCATACAGTTCTGATCACCACATTAGGATGTTTTTGAGACAGTACAGAAAACATTTACTTCAACGTTGCCTGGAATGGGGGATTTTAGCGATGCAGAAAGGTTGGATAGGCCGGGTTTGGTTACACTGGAATACAGGAGGTTGAGGGGTGGTCGGATAGAAGTTTAAACAATTGTGAATAGCATGGATAGAGTGGCAAATATGAGGCTTTTTCCTCAGGATAGAAGGAAAAATTACTAGGAACACAGGTTTGGGGAGGGGGTGGGGGTAAGGTGTAGTTTAAAAGAGACGTGAGGCAGGTTTTTCACACAGGTGGCGAGCGCCTGGAATACACTGCCAAAAGTCATGGTGGAAGCAGACATAATAGCAGCATTCAAGAAACACCTGGACGAATACATGAATAGGAAGGGAACAGAGATACGGATCCTGCAAGTGAAGACAGGTTTCAGGACAGTATTACGGTGGCAGAAAGGACGTTTGATGACAACTCGTCTACTGAGGTAGTATAGGCTGAGGTTAGAACCAGGAAAGGAGAGGTCACCCTGTTGGGAGTTTTCTATAGGCCTCCAAAAAGTTTCAGAGATGTAGAGGAAAAGATTGCAAAGATGATTCTGGATAGGAGCGAAAGTAACAGGGTAGTTGTTATGGGGGACTTTAACTTTCCAAATATTGACTGGAAACACTATAGTTCGAGTACTTCAGATGGGTCAGTTTTTGTCCAATGTGTGCAGGAGGGTTTCCTGACACAGTATGTAGATAGGCCAACAAGAGGCGAGACCACATTGGATTTGGTACTGGGTAATGAACCAGGCCAGGTGTTAGATTTGGAGGTAGGAGAGCACTTTGGTGATAGTGACCACAATTCGGTTACGTTTACTTTAGCGATGGAAAGGGATCGGTGTATAAAGCAGGGCAAGAGTTATAGCTGGGGGAAAGGCAACTATGAGGCGATGAGGCAAGATTTAGGATGCATAGGATGGAGAAGGAAACTGCAGGGGCTGGGCACAATTGACATGTGGAGCTTGTTCAAGGAACAGCTACTGCGTGTCCTCGAGAAGTATGTACCTGTCAGGCAGGGAGGAAGTGGTCGAGCGAGGGA